AGCGTTTCTTCTCAGCCCCCTACTGACCAACAACATGCTACTATCCACCTATGGCTTCGAATTATGCCTGTGTATGTTTCGCGATCTGCTGAACGAACGAGAAATAGAACTTCCAAATACCATTTCGACGCTGTCAAGGTGGAGACCACCCTCGAACATCGTGGTGATGTTCGGTATTCAAATTATAGCTGGAGTTGATTAAAAGCGTTCGTGAATCCTGGGTATTGCAAAAGAATGCAGGGTAATTATGACGCCGAAAAAACACCGCTCACTCCCTGGCTCTAGACAGACAGTATTTCAGAAAGCTCAAGTGGTACTGATACATTCACTTAAAATGGAACGTGAGGACTACATCGATCCTCAGTCATCGATAATCAACCCACAGAATGTTCGAATACAGTGCAGTAAACTCTTTCCAATTATCCCTCAAAATATCCGGGCAACAAAAGCGCTCAAGGCTAGTAAGCTCATTCTTCTGATAAACAAATTTGGATTTCACGATGAAAAGGCATTGGAAATTAAATTGCTGGAAATTAGGTTAGAGATGTTCGCCAATGCATGAAAGAAAGGAAAAAACACACGAAAGAGGAAGCCGAAAAATGGCTCTGAACCTGAGAAACGGGACCACTTCACTTGCCCCTCGATTTGCGCATTTATGACATCCTCATTGGTGCTTTCTCTTCAACGCTAAGCGCTTTGCTGAACGGCTAGAGACTCAGACACGAGACGACGCGAGAGGGGGCGTACCGCGCCAGTAGCACGCCTTGCGCTGCGTGCAAGGCTGAGGCACGCCATAGGGCTCGCCACATCGCCAAGGGCATATACTTCAATGCATGTCGGTCCGCTCCACTGAACCTCCCCCCCCCCCCTTAGACTATGGTCCTTGCCATGGTTTCTTAGTTCGATCACCCTCTTAATGCTATTTGTGGGGTCGGCCGAGAAATGTTCTATCTATACCGAATTCACGATACTGCACGGCTCAGCAACTATGTGGACACTGGATTACCGCACACATCCACCGGAACTCTATGGTCCCTTGGCGCATCGACAGCGAATCGAACTCAGGCCACTCGCGTGGCAGGCGAGCATTCTACCACTGAACCACCGCACATTTCAACCACTGAACCACAAACAAATTCAATTGACAATTGAGTGTCTTTAGGGCCACGGGGACAGCGAACTCGCAACCGCTTCCTCCATTTGCACTCTAATGTTTTTTCATCGAAAAAAAGAACAGGTAAACTGACAGCGGCTGTTTGCAAAAAGTTTGCAAAAACTACACAAAAAGTCGGAACTGCTTGTGCATCACCCACTCTGGAGTGCAACGGGTGGAGGTGGCTCTTGAGAGCCCGAAGAAGATACTCTCTCTGATCCTGATCTCTTACTCTGCAAGTACACCTAGTGGTATCTGGCGGCTAGTTCTTTGCTAGATCTTAGTCTCCCGCAAAAAAACAGCTGTGTTGTCTTGTACTCCCAGCTGCCGTTCCAGGCACATCGTGAGGCGTTCGGCGTTAACGTGGAGAGGCTGACCTTTAGGGATCATGCTAAGCAGCAGACAACGACACTCCGTCAATCGCCTCGCGATGCGCCATGGGGTCGACTGCCATTCGCTATCTTTGGAGGCCCTAGAAAGAGTGTTGAACCAGTGCGATGGGTTAGAATACCTATGAAAGCCTTCGTACTTATGCAGTACAGAGAATGAAACAGATGAAGTACCACCCGCCATTGCGGACTGCAGTGGCCCTAGATCGGTGACGGAACAATTTAAACCACGAAATGCTGAAAGTAGGAATGGAACATTCTCTGAAATTTCACTGTAAACAAGTGATCGGCGTTGATCAAACCTTGCTAGGTGCTTCCAACAAGGTATCACTCAAAAAAAGTGGTTGAGTAGCCTTCTGCCTCCTACGGTCTGAATTCGACAACCCTGAATGCACGAAACACGGGCCTAAAGCTTGAAAGCTTCTAGTGGGCACATGGATCTTGGAATTGGACGTGCACTTTTGTTTTGCCATCCGTTAGCGAGTAGTGGCATACTTCCACTGAGCTTACACAGAAACAAGCTCTCTTTTTGAGCGAGACGTCAGAAAATGAACTTTGCCCAGGTGCCGCAAATGACATTGCCCAGTTGAAGTTGAAAAAGAAGCTTTCGTAAAAATCGCCGTGGCAAAATCTTCAGACACCAAGGGGTTGGGTTTTTTTTTTTTTGAAACAAGGTTTGGCCCCGCTGCGAGAAAGTACAAAAGCCCAATAATTCTCGATTGCATGCTATTTTGAAACGAGAAATCAATGATGGTGCCATCAGGAACAAGGCAGCAAGCCACAGTTCTGATTTTGAACAAATTTTACACTCCCAAAGAACGTTGTGACGGTGCTTATGGTTAGCAGCGTCCGAGATCGAACATGGGTCGTAATACATCGTTACGTCAACTGTTCCTTCCATCGCCTGCAGTCGTTCATTCGGTGCCATAGTTGCCTTATAGAGTAGCAACACTGAGAAATACATCGACTGGTCTCCCAGCAAGTCATTTTATAGTGCAGTAGTCCAAATGGCACTCTTGCGGCAAACTCGTCCATACTTCCGTCATTTTAGCCGCAACCCCTCTTTGCGAAGTTCAACGGCCAGGAAAGGATCCCTACCCCGCCTTTTCCTCGACTTTTTTTTCTGCTTTAGCTACAATTAGCGCACCATTGAGTCTCCATGTACGGCTTTGCATGAACCTCGGCATGATGCCGCTGATTGAAGTCTTCTCAACTCTTCTTCATAATTGACCTTTGTTAGGCTAACGTTTCGGCGAGGATCGCCTTTCTCCATAGCGGTAATACAGTCCGGTTTTCGAGACCACCAGACCAGCAGTGGAGGCGATCGGACTGTGCGCAATTTGGATCGTTTCTTATGCTTCCTTCTTCGGCACCATGGACGAACTCTATTCCGATTCTGTTGGGCTGCCTTTTAATAAGTAAACTCTGCCTTTAAGTATATGGAATGAAGAATAAAGGCATTCGAGTTCAAAAAAGGAATCGCACCTCACTGCTGGTCTGGTGGTCTTGAGAACCGGACTTTATTACAGCTCAGAAGAAGGCGATCCTTGCCGAAACGTTAGCCTAATATAGGTCAATTATCAACCTCGTGAAGAGTTAAGAAGATATCATTCAGCACCATTCAGCACCCCTCGTCCGCTTCGAGCCCCTCCAGACTGATCGTATGTTGCTTTTAAAAAAAGGTCAATCAGCTTAGACGACTGACCAGATCCCAATGGCAACATCTGCTAGTGTGCCCGATGATTAATGACAAGACCCACTGTTCGTTTTTTGCGAATCATCCGAGGCCCGCCGCTGCGAGGATTGGATCGCGCGCTTTCGCCGAGCAAAAATAGATTACGCCGCGAACGTTTTAGCGTGTTCATCGAGGAACGAAAGATAGAGTGGGTCACAAGCTGCTCTCGCTGTTCACTGTGGTTAGGCCAAAGAATTCTTTAGGTACTGACTATGTGGAAGGTAAACATTAGGACAAACGTTCGAGATTTCATAAGCAGGTAGGTCTCACAGGAAGGGCCTTTTTGGGCAAAGCGCGCTTTTTCGGAGCGGTCTCTTGCATATTGTAGGATGGCATGTACGGACCACCAAACAGCTTTGGTATCGGATAATGGCCTCAGTTGTAAAGAGAGATTGCTTCGATCCGTGAGGGACCATACTGGTTGCATTTGAGGCTGGCGCCAACGAATTGATGTCAATCGGGGCTAATTGTCGAAATCAGATGCACATATAGTAAGGACCCTGTTTAGGTCAACAAGTAGAAGCAATAGAGTAGCCGTCTAAATGTAAAATTTTGACGTCACCAGGAACTGAACCACTGACAGAACCTTGCCGTACATTTTTATCCTACTAGAACCTTCTAGCGGAAATGAAACGTACTTCTTTTGTAGCTCATCTTACGTCCCTATAACATGCAAGACCGTTTTGAAAAGGACCAGTTAGCCCTGGAAGACCCCCCTGTCAGATCTATCACTTACTGAATCGATAAAATGTCAGCTTTCGTGCTTTGCTACAGTATAATATAATATGTTACAGTAATGAGGTTTATTTGGCATAACAAAAGTAACGAGAAAACGGTAAGGGTGCTGACACGAGCTGCATAAGAAGGATTTCCACGATGAAGTTGAAGTTTGAAGAAGAGAAACTTACCTAGTGGTGAGACAGGCAGCCATCCTAACCGTGCCCCGCTATCGGCGCGGTACGCCCCCCTCTTGCTGCCCGACCCTCTAGCCGTTTAGCAGAGAGAGATCATTAGCTGAAGAGGGCAACCTCGATGAGATTCGCACCAATGAGAAAATCAATGGACGACGAAGGGGTGCCATTTTACAGATCCTGAGCTGTTACCACGGTTTTTCTTTATCCTTGCACCACTGACCACCTCTATCTTTGTTTCTGATGAGCTGTTTTTACAAAACCCGCCTTCAATAGGTTTTTGAGCATTATATTTGTGGGAGATAAATATCTATGAGCCGACAGCAACTATAAACGCTTGGAGAAGAATCAGCTCTGATAAAAAATCGATATAATAGTCAAAGCATAAATCTCTGAGGGCAATTTTTCTCTGCGCTTTTTTACAGTACGTTTACTCAGCGCTTCCGTTTTCCCGCTTGTCACATTTTCTATGCAATCCAGTCTTTAACAAGACCTCTTGCACGAATTTACTTACACTAACAGAACTTGCAAAGTAACCGTACCAAAGCGGATACAGGAGTGAACACAGAAGGGGCAGGTGGCTGTGGGGGGGGGGGGGGGGTAGGAAGCAACAGAAACTCAGCCAAGTTGACCGTTGCGAGTACGAAATTCGATGCCGGCCAGTAAGAAACGGTCCCAGTACGGAGGCTGTTATAAGGATAAGGAACAGGATAGAGTATGACAATGAATGACCAAGTGGAACCACTCGTTTAGAGTTGAGCTAAGCGTAGCTATTTTAGTGTCGAAAGTAGAAAGAGAAAAGTGCCTCTGTTTGCCCTCCCCTCTCCCTGCTTGTATATTGAAATTACGATGAAATTTTATTACAAACTCTAAATCAACGAATGCTGTACTGCTGCACGTCTTTATTGTTTTTTTTTGCTAATATTCACTGATTTTTCATTTTTTAGACCACTATTGACTTATTTTCTGGATTTGATAATGCATACGTAATCCTTTGGAACATGAAAAAGGAAGAATGGATGAGAAGCCCAGCGAGTTTCCCCCACGTCCAGCTAGAGCAGCGTGGGTCTTAATAAATTGTTAGTGATGCATATGGGCAGTGACAAGAGCAACGCTAAAAGAGCATCTGAGGATCGAACCCCGTTGGAACCAACCAGGCGCTGATCACATGTTTGGCCCTTTGATTGGAAAAAAAGGCCAAAGGCTGCTCAAAAAAGATTTATCAGAATCTTGTGAGGCGAAATTTATATGAGATAGATAGGAGAGACTCTCAAGCATGCATTGGACAAAGAGAAGAGAAACAAGGTCCTAGGAACACTCGACAGTTTTCAGCACTCCGCCCTGTTATCCTCTCTTACATAACCAGGCGGCTCTCTGGGAGCTAGGGAATTTCGTGACAGACATACAGAACGACAGAAGAAGCGAATTATATTATAGTAAGTAGGATGGGTCAAATCTCATCTTTGCTAACCAAGCCTTTCGTCCGTCCGAGGTCGGCTGCTGATGGCGAAAATTCGCCTTCCAGACGCTGACTTATACACAGGGCCAGAAGACGCTTCCGCACTTTCCCAGAATTTTCCGAACCCCCCTTCCCCTCCGGAGGGTCTCGATACGACCCCTCCCCCCACCGCCGTCTCTTAGGAGACTCCTCCAATACACCATCGTGGCTGTTTCTAGAGGATTGATTCTGCGACCGCTCGACACACCCAACACCGCCCACTCTATGCCCCAAAAGGGGTGGAGGGGGGGCGGGGGTGACGGTAAATGGGTATTATGAAAATTCACCAAATCCACAAATATTGCCTCAGTTCAACAAATCTTCGGGAAATTTCCGTCAAATTTCGTCAAAAACTAGTCGAAAACGATCCCTTCTTACGATCTTCTTCTGCTCTCACATTTTTTCCAGAGGTAACCAACCCTGC